GCATCAACACTAAGTGGGGTTACTGAAACCACGCCTTCTTTCTTTGCATGCACATTTGGGCGGCATTATGCTAATATTTCCACATAGTGACGTAGATATGTGGGGGCGTGTCAGAACGAGCCATTTTAAGGCCAATTCACACCGCACCAACAAACGCCAACAGACTAGTCTGTCGGAGTTTGTTGGATCAGTGTGTTACCCCTGTCGGCGTTGGTCGGAGTTGGTTTTAACCCGACTGAACATGTTTAATCTGCGTTTGTTGGGTCGTGGAATGTCTGAGCAGTTTGATATGATTTTCCAACAAACGACAACAAACTCTGACGTAATCTGACCTGGCCACGAACCGTTGCCATAACAATGAGGCAAGACTGCAAGTAGGTGCTGGGCACGCTTAGGAAAATAACTTTAAAAATGGCAGGTTTCTGGACAAACCATAAAGAGGAACAGTTTTTGGATATTTGGGAGGAGAGGCCAGAGCTTTATGCGGTGGGTGTGGGTAAATAGCTTGCGTTCTGCAAGTGAACGGCGCTTTATTGTGCCATCCCAAAGAGACACAAAATCACTTTCTCTGACTTTTAAATTAAATTAAATTAAATGTTCCCTCCAGGTGGAATGACCTGCCCAACTCAACCCGAGCAGCTGAGTCCTTAGCCATCTTCAAGAATAGGCTAAAAACACATCTCTTCCATCTTTATTTGACCCTCTAACTCTAGCACTCGCTATTCTAATTCTATTCTTTATATTAAAAAAGCTTGCGACTTTTAGACTTGCACTCTATTTATTTACTAACTGCTTGTTTTTCTTTAAAAAAAACTAACACTTGCTTCTCTAATCTTTTTGCATTCTATCTTTTTGTTTTATTTTTATTTATTATACAATTCCCTTAACTTTTTTTTTAATGATTATTTAACATTTTCAAACCTAAAATCAGCAAGCTTTTATTTTGGCGGGTTGTCATCGAGTAAGTATATGCAGTGCCTGCTTTGGCGCTGCCGAGTAAAGTGCATAAGCGAATGAAATGTCACAGGTTTGCGTTTTGCTTTGTATACCAGCAGTGCATAACCTAGATTTATGCATTCGGTTCGAATGGAAATCATGTACATTATTACAGTAAGTTGATCTAATACGGTGATTGTGCATTAACAGCTGTCGCAAATGAGCGGTGTGAACTTATTTACCCAGCGTATTTTTTATTTTGGTCATGCATACGCACCTGTGCAACACTTATGTGCACCCATGGTTATTGGTTAGTCTGTGTATTTCAGAAAAAGTTGAGCTGACAGCTTGAAGGTTTGCATATTTCTCTACCCATTAATTTCCAGTCCTCCTCCTAATTTAGAAATAATAAAGCAGGAAAGTGCTTACTTGAGTAAAAATGAGGTCAGTGTTGATGTCCTTTGAGTTCACAGTATGTTTGATGTGGCGTGTTTGTGTTTGCAGAGGGAGACTCTGTTACGGCAACTGGAGACAAATCAGCTTGACATCGATGCCACGTTAGAAGAGCTCAGTGTTCAGCAGGAGACTGAGGACCAGAACTATGACATGTGAGTGTGAACCATGTACACACATACAGTATGCACGCAATATATTTCAGATGCTGTAGAGCAGGGTTTTCCAAACTGCTTGGGGTTTGTGAGTTGATTAAGAGCTAATAATTAATTTGATCAAATGTGAAGTTAAAAGAATGAAATGGGGCTGCACAATGAATCAAAATATAACTGAAATTCGGATACAACTCAAATCAAAGGCTGCTATTTAATTAAATAAGTCTATATTGTGTTGTGCTGTATGTTTCAGAGTGAAGAGCGGTACCATCAAATGCAACATGCACTAGGTTAATTTTATTTACACATTCACATCATTTTCAACATTTTTGTGAAAAGAAATGTACAGCATTTCACAAGTATTCCAGCAAAAAAGCTTGACATTTTGAAATGTTAAAAGCTTAACAGTGATGAATGTAAATACATAAATGTTAGTATTGTAACTTGTAGTGTAAAATATTGTCTTATATATATATATAAAAATCTATTTTACTGTTGTAATTTACAGTAGTAATATCTTTCAGTCTTGTTTTTCATTAGTTAAAATAATAATAAAATTACATTAACTATTAATTATATTTTAAAATAATGATAAAAATAATTATTGTTGTTATTGCTGTTGCTGCCACTGCTGTTAATAATAGTATGTTATTCTATTTTATAATCGAATTATTAACAATAATATAAAAATAAAAATGTATATTATTAATATATAGATATATAATTAATATAGGTATAGTTCATAATAATAATAATCTAGCATTCTATAATAAAGTAAAATAATAATTAATATTATTAACAAAAATTTTATAATCATTTTTACAATAAATATAAAAATTATTCTTCTATTTTTAAATTATTATTCTCTCTCTCTCTCCCTCTCTCTCTCCCCCTCTCTCTCTCTCTCTCTCTCTCGCGCGCGCGCGCTCGCTATATATATATACATATTTAGTATTATGTGTATAATATATAATATTAGTGATTAATATTAATGTGTTGGTAAATTATTGAAATATTAACAATATCAGGGGGTACTTCAAGTAAGGGTTTTGAATGAAAATGATTTTGGTAACCCTTGCTGTAGAGCATCATAGAGGCTCGGAGTTCAGTGGCACTATTGCCACTGGGACTTTGGCATTAAATCAAGTCAATTTAGTTTTTTACTCTGGCCACTTAGACAGGAATGTCATCCGACCATCATTTTCTGAATTTCACTAGTTGACTGTTTTTCCAGATTTCTTGAGATGATGGAGTCACGCAAAGCTTACGGCTCTCCGGCACCCTCTAATGGCCAGAGCCCGTCCTCGGGCTCCCAGTCCCCTGTGGTGCTGCCCGGTGCTGCCTCTCCCAGTAACTCCAGCCCCAGTACCCCACAGGCCCCTGTCTTGCTCCAGACCCAATCCGCCCCTCCACCACCTCCATCTATTCCACACCCTCCCGCACAGATCACAGCCGCCCATGTACCCCAGACACCATCACAAACCCTGGAGCCTTGGCCTGCAGCACCGGTGCCCGCACCTGCCCAACCCACACCTCCTCCTGCCCAGAAACGAGGCTTCATCTCACGCCTGTTCGGATCGTCTGCTGCAGAGACGTCACCGGACAAACCAGGTCAGCATAGAACAGTGTTATTATAGAATAATTGATATATTATTGTAGTTTTTATAATACAGGGTTTTTGCAGGTCTATAAAAAGGTATTTAAAAGCCTTAATTCACTCCTCCACAAATTAAGGTCTTAAATTGAAACTGAAAATCTTAAATTCACTGCAAAAAAAAAAAAAAGAAAAAATCTTCCTCAGTTTTTCTGTTTTGTTTTCCAATATAAATATCTAAACATCCTTAAATCAAGATACATTTACTTGAAAAGCAAATTGAAGAAATGAAGTCTTGTTTTCCGAGAAATTAAACAAAATTAAGTAGTTTATGCTTGAAACAAGAACAAATATCTGCCAGTGGGATATGAAAACTTTTTTCCCTTTGAATTAAGGTGTTTTTTTCCGAACCCACTGGCAGATATTTGTTCGTTTTAATCATAAACTTACTTCTTCTTTTTTTTCTCAGAAAACAAAACTTATTTTCTGTCATTTTGTTTCTCAAGTAAACTTAAAAATCTTAAGAATATTTTTTTTTTGTAAAATGAATTAGAAAGTAATGGAGATCTGTTGGAGGTTGTATTTTAAAACTTTGAAGTGCTGCTAATTTGAGACATTTACATTTAGAGACCATACGGATGTATCGTGTTCCATTAAATTTATTCCTTAAATTTCTTTACTTAGTCTTAAAAAGGTCTTTAAAAGTCTTAAAATTACCTTCATAAAATGCAGAAAGCCTGTAATATTTTGACTTGATTTTCATTTTAATTTTATTTAAAGTAATAAGTAATTGTTTTGTTTAGTTTTTTTTAATATGTGTATAAAGTTTTTATTACTTTTTATTTTAGTTTTTATTTTAGTTATTTTAGTGCTTCAAGTTAAAGTAAATGAAAATGAGAAATGATGCCTTGGAAACTAGTTGAAATAAAATAAGCTTAAGTTTTTCATGTATTTTATTTCGGTTTATTTTTATTTTTATTTCAAGTAATAAATATGCTTTATGGTTTTAGTATTAATTAACAATAACAAACAAACAAACAAAAAAATAACAAACACAAAGTGTGTGTGTACATGTTTTTCTATCCTGGTGGGGACTTAAACTTGAATACACACAGACTCATGGGCACTCGTGTCACTGTGGAGACCTAAATCCCCATGGGGAAACAAGCTTATAAATCATACAGAATGAGTTTTTTTGAGAATGTAAAAATGCTGAAAGTTTCCTGTGAGGGGTAGGTTTAGGGGTAGGGTTGGTGTAGGGCGATAGAATATACAGTCTGTACAGTAGAAAAACCATTACGCCTATGGAGAGTCCCCACAAGGATAGCTGACCAGACATGAGTGTGTGTGTGTGTGTGTGTGTGTGTGTGTGTGTGTGTGTGTGTGTGTGTGTACGTTTGCTAATGTGACTATATGAACTGTAGTAATGAGGGGCTGCTGTCCAGAGACTACAGTCAATGCTTTATATACTGAATACCAATGAGACATTATTAGGCAACACTGGAGCCGCCACTGCACAGTCATTAACGGAGACCGGTGGACTGACAAACACAAGCGCAGCTCTGCACCAGTGCATTTGCTGCTGCTGCATTGCAGATCCTGGGGGATGGGGCCGAGCAGAAGCACACTAATGCACTTCCTGTCAACACATATATACAGAAAGTGTGTCAAATGGCTATCATCATGTTGTATTAGGTTTTATATTCAAACATCATATACAAACATTTTGGTTTCTTAATTTTGTTTGGTTTCACAAAAGTTCCCTTTTGTTCTGGGGAATGCTAGATCCAATTTGCCAAACGTCTAAACTGGAATTAAAGATGCCACGATATCATAAATAATCATTAATTTAGCATCACAGATGGCCCATGTTTTATCAGTTTCTATTTGGTTTTATTTGGATTTTAGCACAAGTATAGATATATTCATATATTAATTTCCATACTACATTTAATATGTTTTGGTGAAATTTTAGCACCAAAACTGGATATTTAACTTTTTTGTGAGTTTATAGTATTATTGAAAATTATTACCTGTACTGAATGTTGTATTGCTGAATGTGTTATATATATATATATACAGTGGGTACAGAAAGTATTCAGACCCCCTTAAATTTTTCACTCTTTGTTATATTGCAGCCATTTGCTAAAATCATTTAAGTTAATTTTTTTTCCTCATTAATGTACACACAGCACCCCATATTGACAGAAAAACACAGAATTGTTGACATTTTTGCAGATTTATTAAAAAAGAAAAACTGAAATATCACATGGTCCTAAGTATTCAGACCCTTTGCTGTGACACTCATATATTTAACTCAGGTGCTGTCCATTTCTTCTGATCATCCTTGAGATGGTTCTACACCTTCATTTGAGTCCAGCTGTGTTTGATTATACTGATTGGACTTGATTAGGAAAGCCACACACCTGTATATATAAATTATTATATATATATTTTTTTTTATGCTTGAGGTGTAGTGCCAGATTTAGGAAATGCTGTTCTGTTTATATTAACCATGTTTTCTGTTCAGAATAATTATAATAATTAATAATACAAGTTAATAGACTTTTATAACAGAACAATTCTGTAATGGTCAAGTATGTTTCTGGTATAATTATCTGATCTTTGCAGTCATGTAACATCATTCTTGCATTTTATTTTAATGCAATTTTAAAAATATATTCTGTTTCATAAAATATTTTTCTTTTGATACCTGAGGTGTAATTACAGATTTACCTAATAACATTACATTTGTAGTAACCATATTTTAATAATTAATAATACAAGTTTAATAGAATTTAATAACAGGAAAATTCTGTAATGGTCAAATATGTTTTAGGTGTAAATATGGTATAAATATCTGATCATTGCAGGTGTGTAACATAATTTGTGCATCTTACCATTACTTAACACAATAAATGAATATGATTTCAGTCAACTTGCATTTTGTTAAAATGCACACCTGACCTGTTGCCGTGAAGCTAGAAAAGCATTTGGTTTATTACATGTATTCATTTGAAACTTGTCTTTTATCTTCATTAGAAACTGCAGGTTCTGAAGGCCCGAAGTCCTCTGGAAAGGTGCAGAGTGTGGATGAATTTGTGCCGGAGGTGGGCCTGGACCGGACCTTTCTGGAAGATGGTGGAACAGCAGCAGCATTAGCAGTTAAATCAAAGAAAAAACCTCCAGCATCAGCTCCCATCCTGGACAGTGATAGGTAAGCTGTGATAACAGACAGTTTATTGTTTCTAAAAGCAAAGAACATCCCGTCAGCTTGTCTGAGTATTACTGTAGTAATTTCAGCAGCTCATAAACATACCGGACAGGATTACAAATGGGATTTTTCATTTGCTCAGATCAACATGATTTTGCTGTCTCAGAATGAGTTGATTGTGGTTCTGTTGTTTTTTAGAGATGAAGAAAGTAGCGAATTTTGAGGAAAAGTGAAAAAGAAGCAAACATTCATGCCAACAAACATCTTTATGTAAAATAAGGACTGATGCATTGATCACAAAAAGAGCAGGGACATGTATTGTGAAAGTGAATGAGTTTAATTTTGGGTCACATGTTAAACTCATGAGAGTTTGCCTGTCTTTTGCTCAGTGATGGAGAGGGACGGGGAAATCCTCTGGTCTCCGGGTTCCAGGATGATTTAGATCCGGATGACAGAGCGCTGTCCCAGCCTGCCATTAAAGCGGCGGTCCCGAGCATAGGAGTCACCCTCACGAGTGATGATGAGGAGGAAGATTCGTCCCTGCCCTCTGCTGCCCAGCACAAAGGCATCAGCTCGGGGCCAAACTCAAAGGGGTAAGAAACCATCTGCAGATGTGTCAGATGCATCATACATTTAATAGAAAGACTTCAGTGTAGGGCTGGGTATCGTTCAAAATGTTTCATCGATACCGATACCTTGACTTCGATACCGGCTCCTGAACGATACTTTTTTCGATACCAATTTTATGAAATCAATTTTAACAAGAATATATTATCTAATAAAAAAAAAAACTTTGTTTTATTTTTCAGCTTGTTGATGTTTATACAAACTCAAAGACTCCTCACCTGAGCCACTGCACAAAGAAACAAAATGTAACCAACACAATAAATCAGTGCAAAATGGTTTTAATAAAGCTCAAATAGTCTTCATTTTACACATCTGTTAGGCTACATTTACACTAGTTAGTGTTCGTTTTAAAACGCATAGCTCAGACAGAATCATGATTTCTATTTATTTTCCACTGATTTACTGATGAGCATTAGCAGCATTAGAGGTAATAACATATTTAATATTAGCAGCATTACATGGCCAAAACACACATTAGACGGCAATCAGAAGTTATTACAAACACTCGATGGTGGTTTAAAGTGAGTTTTGAGTAAAAGCGGAATATAAATCTTATTTATTGTCTTATGTAGCATGATGCTACAGTTTGCATGAATGGTCACATAACATGCGCTTTCGGTCTTGTAACGTTAGTATGAACGGACATATGCATATGAACGGAACTCCACGCAGCTCCTGCGCTACTCTCCATTGGAAATTAATGATGATAGTGGAAAGTCGGCTTAGAACGCAGTGGAAACGCCAGTATGACGAGGATCGTTTTCGTTTTAAAACATAAACGCACCAGTGTAAATGTAACCTTACATCTAAGGGAGCTGGGATGCATTCACACTACAGCCTCACGTGTGCGCCACATCTCTGAGTGTAACCTAGTACCTCTTAGTCTATCCTGAGTAAACTAGTAGGTGTGTTCGACTTGATGCGGACCGACTGTGCAGACCGATTGGTGTATTACAGTATCATGAGAGCTAAAGAGAGCAGACTGCTCCGTGCGCTGTCGAATCGCTCTCGCGGATGTCAAACACTGATCGATCTGCGCCGCACCTCTTCAAGTCGAACACTAGTGCTGCAGGCTTATTGGCTCGCTGACGCTGATGAGATTAACCTCTTAGGTATCGAAATTTGGTACTGAACGACGAGAAGTTTTTCGATACTCGATGGTATCGAGGCAATTCGGTCGGTGCCTAAAAAGTATTGAACTCGATACCCAGCCCTACTTCAGTGAGATGCAGACGTGTTGAGACCTGACAAGAATTTCCTGAAGATCTGTTGTACGTTTTTAATTAATTTTCCTCACTGTTGATGAGCTTCCGAAATAGAAATGATGCCATCAGCAGAGAGACTTGTCTAATTTACTTTAATTAAATCACTCTTAATGAAGGCAAAACCAATTTTCATTTCTTGATAAGATTATTTTTTTCAATTAATGCTACTTGGCACAAGTGATTTCTATAGATAGATAGATAGATAGGGGGATTGACAGATGGATGGATGGATGCATGGATGGATGGAGAGATAGATGGATGGATGGATGGATGGATGGATGGATGGATGGATGGATGGATGGATGGATGGATGGATGGATGGATGGATGGATGGATGGATGGATGGATGGATGGATGGATGGATGGATGGATGGATGGATGGATGGATGGATGGATGGATGGATGGATGGATGGATGGATGGATGGATGGATGGATGGATGGATGGATGGATGGATGGATGGATGGATGGATGGATGGATGGATGGATGGATGGATGGATGGATGGATGGATGGATGGATGGATGGATGGATGGATGGATGGATGGATGGATGGATGGATGGATGGATGGATGGATGGATGGATGGAGAGATAGATGGATAGATGGATGGATGGAGAGATAGATGACAGATAGATGGATAGATGGTTTATGGACGGATGGATGGATGGGGGATAGATGGATATATGGCTGGACGGATAGATAGACTGACAGATGGACTGATGAATAGATAGATAGATGGATATATAGACAGACATAGATGGATAGATCTCTGATGAATAATTATTTGAAGTCAGGATGTTATTTCCTTAGAAGGGACCTCATATTTTCTGTGGAATCTGACTTTCGATTCTAGATCTACAGTGAATTCTGTCAAACAGCTGCAAACCAAGTCAAAACCAGCAGAGAGACCCCAAAGCCTGAAAACCACAGCAGGACCTGCGGTGCAGCGAGAAGGCCTGAAGACAGGAGGCGCTGTTGAGGCCAACTCAGATTCAGACCAAAAGGCTCCAGTTGCTCATCAGATCATTTCATTTGTCATGGACGACCCTGATTTTGAGAACGAAGAGCTTGATGTACCTAATATCAAGAAGGTAGAAAACCAATTTTAGGCTCTTGATAATCAGTTGCTTTATAGTAACCAATCGATGAATGAAATCTTGAGCCATGGCCTGCTATTCCACACTGAAATCAGTGTTATTTTAGTATATTTTTTTGTCGAATTTGATTTTTGTTTACATTTTCTGTTTTCATTTTAATCTCTCAAATACAATCTCTAAATCTAAAAAAAAGTTGTTTTTTTTCAGTTAAAATATTTTAGTTTTTAGCTTTTAGTTTAGTTAATGATAATAACCTTGACTGAAATACACTTAAATCCATCTCAAATGTTCTTCTCAAAGAAATATAAATCATCTAATGCATCTACAGTCTAATAAATACACTCAATAAGAAAAGATAATCTAGATATTTCACTTCATTTCCAGCGTTATCGTTGACATGATTGCAAAGATATTATTTAAACTGAGCTGGATGTTGACATCACTGAATTCAATGATGAACTGTCTTTAACTGAAAAATTAGTGTTTACTTTTGTCATTTTGCATTATTGACACAATATTTTCCTAATTAATGCTGTTCAGTTGCTTTGACACAATCTGTATTGTTAAAAGCGCTATATAAATAAAGGTGACTTGACTTGATTAGATATTAAATAAGTACTTTGCCACCAAATAAATCCCATTCAGTCACTCATCTTTTCTGCTTCGTCTGTTTTCCGTAGGGCACTGTTTCTGCACGAGATGACTTATCTGATCGGTCGGATGATGGGTTTGTGTTAGCTGGACTCCCAGAGCCCCCCAAACATGTTGCCCCCTCATTTCAGACCCTCAACAGCAACATTGACCTGTTTGGCCTGGGATTTGAAGAGACAAGACCTAATAGTAAAGACAGCAGTGAAGACCAGGAAGGTAACATTCAGTAAATGACTTGCACTTATACTTATCAAAACTAAAGAGAATTCACGCCCTTATCTTTTTTAGCCAAAGAGGAATATATATATATATATATATATATATATATATATAGGTGCGAATGAACATACTTTCCAGAAGGCCAACAATTCACTAAAAATGTTTTTTTATTGGTCTTATGAAGTATTCTAATTTGTTGAGATAGTGAATTGGTGGGTTTTTGTTAAATTTGAGCCAAAATCATCACAATTAAAAGAACCAAAGACTTAAACTACTTCAGTCTGTGTGCATTGAATTTATTTAATACACGAGTTTCACAATTTGAGTTGAATTACTGAAATAAATGAACTTTTCCACAACATTCTAATTTATTGAGATGCACCTGTATATATATATATATATATTATTATTACAAGATAAGTCAAGATTACATTATTTAATCAGTCATTAAAATCTTTTTGACTGTTAATTTAAGTGTCATAACATTTTGAAAAAATGAAAAAAAAAAGATTACTTTTAGTGGATCTTTGAAAACATTGGTGCATATTTTGTTCTGGGTGAGACTAACAGAGGTTATGCTGTCGCAGACCACTGCAACTTCATTGCTTTCAGTGTTGACGAATATTAAGAAAAATGCTTTCTGAATGTGACGCATTTCCAAGTGTGTTTTATCTTGCAGATAATGAAAGCAGACACTCCACAAAGGACAAGAAAAAGAAGAAAAAGAAAAGCAAAGAGGTAAGATACGGAAAAACTTGACCATATTAGTGAATGATTGTGACTGATATATCATCCAAGGCAATTAAACTCACAATATTTTTTAGGTTTGCAGCATCGGCCATGTGTGTCACTTTCAAAATCTACCAGCAAGCTTGTCAAATGCTAGTGTCCAGTTTGTTTTTTAATATTTTTGGCACATTTGGACAAATCTTGTTTACTTGTATAGTGCTTTATATACAACTTGTTTCAAAGCAATTTAAAGATAATAAACAGAAAAAGAAAACAATGGCAGTGTTGCAATATTCTGCCTTTAGGAAACAACACATTTGGTTAATTAAAATAAAGTAAAGATAATAAAAATTATCGACTGAGAACACTGAAAAAGTGAATTGAATTTAACTAATGTCAAATACAGCTAATTCTATAATATTTAAGAAAGTATTAATTTTGCATATTGTTATGATTAAATAATATTATATATATAACAGTATTATATTGGACACCAGTTAACTTTCTCAAAATCGGTATCAGTGATCAAAAAGCATGTATTGGTTGATCATTTGCTCGTATTAAAACATTTTTCATGCCATCAGATTTTGTTGCTTGTGCACAAACTGTCTTTATATGTAGTGAAATAATAGGGAGAAATCTTGTTTTTGTTCTAGGAGGATGAGAAAAGCAGCAAAAAACGACACAAGCACAAGAAAAAGGAAAAAGATGACGTGGGAATGGGAGATGAGAAAGAAAAGAAGAAGAAGAAATCATCAAGGACCAAGAAAGCAGGAACTGTGGATGATCTTGAGGCCTTCCTGGCGGGTGGAGACGGACCAGGAAACAGTGAGGGCGGAGACTATGAAGAACTCTAACCAATCAGGGTTTAACATCAACACCGTGTGACATCGCCAGGTCATTTTCCAATCCATTCCACTTGTTTTTTCAGTGCCTAACCTTTCAGATTTTCACAGCGTTTTTGTTCTTCCAGCATTGCAGCTTTATGAGTTGATATGTGGCACCATTGTTCACATCATGCCGTTTTCCAAAGTGTATCAGTATTTTCAGACCTGTAACTTTTAGATGCGTTTTTCTGAGACCGATTCCATTATTAACTCTTTCCCCGCCAGCATTTTTGAAAAAAGTTGCCAGCCACCGCCAGCGATTTTGATGATTTTCACAAAAATTTTTATGGCCTCCAGTATATTTTGCTGTATGAATATTTGAGTCCTCTACTTTTAAACAAAAAATTTATTCTAGCTTAAAGCATAATTTTTTTTATCAACACTTATGTAGGTTTCATAAAAATGCATAATTTTGAGCAAAAAGGTGAGAAAATCACATTTTTATCAAAAACTACATCTGGGTAATATTCAGTACGATTATCAAAGCATAAATCCAGTAAATCGCTTCTATCAACACCTCCAAAGCTTGCACAGACATATACCACTTCCTGGATCAACATTTTACTCCATAACATTATGCAGTTTTCATTTATATGCGGTCTATTGCTGATGATCGCATTATTTTTCATATGCATCTGTTTACATAAGAGATCGCTCGTTTCTCCATCCTGTTCACGTGTGTTTTTTTTCGGGAGGTTTTGTACTCGTTCAGAAGATGTGTAATAGCGCCCCCCTTGTGTATAACAGTGAAAACACGAAAAGACGTAAAAACTTGTCTTTGGCGGGGAAGCGTTGTCTTCTAAAAGACGAGATAACTCGTCAATGGCGGGGAAAGAGTTAACTGATACAAACTCACTATGCCGTTCCACAAGGAGGTCATTTTAACTTTATTGGTTTTGTTTGGTGTGTGTCTTTGTCAATGTGTCTGTATATGTGTCCCTGAAAGTTTTTGGCAACTCTGTGTGTGCTAGGGCTTGACGATATGGCCAAAATTTATATCAGTTTTCGTGCAGTGCTCATGTTTATTCAACGAAGTCAAACGCCACAAATAAATCAATGTATGGGAAACACTGGTAATGTATATCGAAATATCGGAAATGTGTTTAAAAATCGTATCACCGTTATTGAAAAAAATGATATCGCGATACATATTGATATTGAATTATTGTCCAGCCCTAGTGTGCGCTTGCATTTTCATTAAGCAAATATATAGATGGATTAATCAGACTTGCATTCAAATCTACCAAACATATTTGCCCCGCAATATATGAGCAGAACTAATTTCTGTGTTAAACGTTCAAAGAACTATTCACATTTAATTTAATATTTCTGCTCACGTTTGTAAACCGTTCTTGCATAAATTGTCCAGTGCAATTATATTCAACAATTAATGTAAGAATGGTTGAACAGTTTACACAAAACGTAATTCTGCATGTGCTTCATGAATGAGAGCTGATATGTTGTGACGTTCATTGTCTTCCAGATTTTACATCATATATCAAACCTTTAAAAAGAATCAGTCGTAACTAGATTTAATACCATAAGCCTCTTTCACCATCAGTTCCTTTCCATTAATGCCTTAAATTGTTTTACACTTAACAAAATGAAAGCCTTTATAGAGCAATCCTATAACGTTAATTAATGACTGAGGCTCTGACAGAGTGCTAACATTGACAGAATTACTGTGAGCTGGAGAGACACACTCCTGCAGCAATCGCAATCACGTTTGCAATTAGATATATGATTAATTATGACAAAGTCAGTCAGATTGTCTTTTTGTCAGCTGTTAATGCAGTTAGTATTATTATTTATGATCTAAAAATGTGTTATATGTTATAGTTTCATAATCATAATTTCTGGTTCCGGTCAAAATTCTTCCTCTCATGGTCTGTTTGCGACGTCCTGTCTTGTAAATGCATGTATTTCCTTTGCTGTATCTTTATTTTTGTTATGGCTTGTGTACTTGTTAGTAGTTGTGTGTAGATCTAGTGTTTTAGATACACTGCAGATAATTTCAGTGATGGACAACCAGGAACATTGTCTCTGGTCCTGTGATGACGAGGCACCTCGAATGCCCTTTATGTATGGCCAACTCATTTAGAGGCGGCTCGTGCATAAAAATGAATTTCCTTCATTTTAGTGACAGCCCTGTGTAAATTACTAAATGCAACTAAACAGAGCTGATCTAAAAGTGATCAAAATAATTAGTTCTGCTTGAATTAGTGCATGGACCAAAAATGGTTGAGAACGCTAGTTTTAAACCGTATGTTGGTTTTATTGTATTCATACAGCATTCCAAAGCTTTTGTTTGGAACCATAAATGGTTGTGTTTGCCTGTTTATTGTTTTTGCTACCCTGTTTCACTACCCAAAGTATTCATATTTCATTTATGTGTTTCAATTCTGTAATAAATGCAAGATCAATTTTGACCAGGTTTGTATAAAGTTGAGCTGCTTAAGTTCAAGGAGATTTATTTGTCGTAATGATGAAAAAGAGAATATATATATATTATGTGGGTGGGTGGGTGTATGTCAGGCTGTCAAATTGATTAACCAGGATTAATTGCATCTAAAATAAAAGTATAAAATATATATTTATATATACATGAATATGAATATATTTATGTCAAGTCAAGTCACCTTTATTTATATAGCGCTTTTAACAATACAGATTGTGACAAAGCAACTGAACAGCATTAATTAGGAAAATAGTGTCAATAATGAAAAATGACAATAGTAAACACAAATTTACTTATGCATGTAAATGTCTTAAATATATACATGTATGTGTATTTATATACATATAAATATATACAAGTCAAGTCAACTTTATATAAAACAATACAGATTGTGTCAAAGCGGCTTTACAGTGTTAATCAGGAAAAATGTGTGTTGATAATGCAAGAGGACAATAGAAAACAGTTTATTCAGTTAAAGTCAGTTCATTGTTGATTCAGTGATGTCGTCATCCAGCTCAGTTTAGTTCTCTTCCAATAGTGTGCAGTCAAGTCAATAATGTTGCCAGAAACTAAGCAAACCAAAGACGACAGTGGCAAGGAACCAAAACTCCATCAGTGACAGAAATGGAGAAAAAAAACTTTGGGATAAACCAGGCTCAGTTCTCCTCTGGCCAGACGAATCCAGCATAGTGTGGTATAATTCCAGGCTGCGACACACGTCAGATTGAGCAGAGGACTCGTCTGGTTCTTGTGGTCTTGTGCCAATGGCCGACAAGGTCATCACAGGGGATCTGTCACTAGGCTTTGTCTAGTTGACATGGTCTCCGCTGACATTCAGGGCTATGTGTACGTCCCTAGGTGCTGATCCACCATCTGGACTGGATACAGCCTGGATCCAGGTGACTGCAGTGACTCTGATCTGGATATGGAATGGATCTGGGTGGCTACAGTAACCACAGAATAAGAATGAATCTAACCTTGAGGTCATGAATGCATGAATTAACATTTCTGCATTTGACATTGAGAGCATATGTCGTAATTTAGATATATTTTTAAGATGGAAAAACATGACTTTCAAAGGAAAGGTTTCCATCAAATAGCACACCTAGGTTCCTAACTGATGACAAAGAACTAACTAATTAACACCTCTGTTTTTTTGTTTTTTTCCCCCAGAATTTAGCAGTAGGAAATGACTAGTCATCCAGTTTTTTTATATCAACTATGCATTCTGTTAGTTTTGCTAATTAGTATGTTTCATCGGGCTGCAAAGAAATATAGAGCTGAGTATCATCAGCATAACAGTGAAAGCTAACACCATGTTTCTTGATGATATCTCCCAAGGGTAGCATGTAAAGCATGAAAAGCAACGGTCCTAATACTGAGCCTTGTGGTACTCCATACTGCACTTGTGATAGATATGATACCTCATCATTCACTGCTACGAATTAATGAGGGTCAGATAAGTATGATTTGAACCATGACAATGCAATTCCACTTATGCCAACATAATTTTCTAGTCTAGTCTAGAATGTTGTGGTCCATAGTGTAGAATGCAGCGCTAAGCTCCAGTAGCACTAATAGAGAGATACAACCACAATCGGATGATAAGAGCAGGTCATTTGTAACTCTGATGAGAGCAGTCTCTGTACTATGACACGGTCTAAATCCTGACTGGAAATCCTCACAGGTACCATTTTTCTCTAAGAAAGAGCATAATTGTGAGGAGAATACCTATTCTAGTATCTTTGACAGAAAATGGAGATTTGAGATTGGTCTGTAATTAACTAATTCTCCAGGATCAAATTGTGTTTTTTAATGAGATGCTTAATAACAGCCAGTTTGAAGGTCTTTGGGAAATATCTTAATGACAATGATGAATTAATGATATTCAGAAGAGGATCTATGACTTCTGGAAGCACCTCTTTTAGTAGCTTAGATGGTATAGGATCAAACATACGTGTTGTTGGTACAGTTCTTCCTGTCTTATAGCAGAAAATTAGTGGAATTGTTCCTCAGGGATTCTATAGTGTACTATATCTGATGTGATACTGTAGCTGACGGCTGCATGGTTATACATTTCTCTAATAGTATTGATTTTGGAAGTAAAGAAGTTCATAAAGTCATTACTGTTGTGCATGGAAATGTCTGCGCCTGCTGATGCTTTATTTTTTTTGTTAATTTATCCACTGTATTGATTAAATACCTGGGGCAGTTTTGTTTTCTTGTAAAAGAGATGAAAAGTAAGCAGATCTAGCTGTTTTTAAGGCTTTTCTGTATGTAGAAGTACTTTCCCTCTATGCAATACGAAATACCTCTCAGGGCTCTACAGTGCGACCATTTCAGTCGCATTTGCGACTGAAAACTACTGCGTGCGACTATAAACATTTTTTTAGGAGCACCAGTGCGAGTGACCAGATCATCATCATACTTGTGATGATCTGGTCATGAGATGAACTAAGATGAGTGCCAGCTTTTAATGATTTTTAAAGGAGTTTGTAAATGTGATACTGATTTAATACAATACAATTCAATAAACAAGAAGTTAATATTAAGTGACTTACATTGTCTGACTATAACACTATTGTCTGATTTTGCTCTATTTCATCGTTGAAAATTGTTTAAAACAAAGTCACAGCTCAGCCGCTGCGCATCTCCATTCAAACCAAGCTGCAACCTCCTTCTCTCTCTTGTGAAGCCAACAAGGAAGTGACCTAAACTGTAATTCATCAACTGGCCGCTAGAGGCTGGCTGCAAAAGGGAGTCAATCCCATAGATTCCCCATGTTAAAATGC